GAGGGAAAGGGGGGGAGGGAGAGGGAGGGGTGTGGGACGGAAGTGTTTTTTAAGGGGGTTTAATAGTGACATGCTGAGAGGCGAGGAGGAGGGTGAACAGGACCGAAGCCTCTCCTTCCCCCGTTCCTCCACACACACGAAACACACATTCCTAACCAGTCCCTCCCCACCGTCTGTATGTATGTGTGTCTGTGTGGCTCCTCCTGTCCCCAGCCTGTCCTTAGATGACAGACACACAAACAAACAAACGAATAAACAAACAAAATTTATCCCACGGCTCATCCCCGGCAAATCCTCTGGTATTTTCCTTTCCCACCCCTCTTTTCCCCACGTTGGGCCCCGTGCACACACATATATACATGCAAACAAACGCACACATAAAATCTCGGACCAGATGTGGTTGCTCCTCTACTGCGACCCGGGGGTCGGTTCCTACTTCGGGAGTTCCACCCCGTCAGCACCAAGCTCATTTCGTCCAAGGGGAAAAAACACAAGGTGCGGATGGGAATGGGGGTGGGGTATGGTTTCCACTCCCCACTGCCGTACTCCGTACATAAGTACGGATCTAAGGATGGGGAAGAGGGGTGCGATGGGGCGGGCAGGAAAGGGCTGTAACGCGATGGCGGCAGGTAAGGGAGGAGGAAAGGGGTGGTTGGGAGAAATTGTTCGGAGGTTTGTTGGTTGGGTTAGTTGGTTGGTTTGGGAAGGCTGTATCACCAGAGCGATGCCTGCGTAGGTAGTTGTCATCGCCACGCAGCGCCTTCAGGACCGCCCTCCTCCTCCTCCGCAGCTCCCCTCCCCTCCCTTCCCTTGTTTTGAGTGCCGTCCACAGCCCTTCTTCACCACTAACACCACCACTAACACCACCACTAACACCACCACTAACACCACCACTAACACCACCATTAACACCACTACTAACACCACTACGGCGGCGGCTACAGGTTAGTGGGGACTACTTCGCGACGCAGCCCCTCGTGGCGATGGATGTAGCGTACAGCAAGTACGAATTACTGGCGGCGGCGGCGGCGACAACGATCGCGGCGGCGGAGCCGCCAGCTCAGAAACCCATCGTCCCCGCCGCCGCCGCCGCTGCTGGCGGCGTCAGCGCCTCCGGAACCGTTTCCTCCCCCCCCCCGACGGCGTATCTGCGCCAGTGGGGTCTTGGCGAGGTGGTGACGGCGGTGTGCGGTAGTGGGTTGTTGGTTGTACGGCTGTTGGACGAGGAGCCGGGTCCCCGACTTGACGATGCGGGGCTGCCCAAGGTGTTCACCTTGCTGGCGGAGCGGATTCGGGCGGGGGGGAGTGGAGCGGAGCGGTTGGCTCGGAGGCTCTAGGATAGGAGGTGGGATACGGTCGGAGGACAGGAATTACGTTTTCTGAGAACTGATTGTTGTTATTGTTGTTGTTGTTGTTGTTGTTGTTGTTGAAGTGGAGTGTTATGGAATGGAAGAGGTTGTGGCTGGGACTAATGACTTAAGCTGAAATTGGAATGGAATATCTTTTTGAGCGACGAGGGCCCCCGAGGGCGCGAAGCACCTTTCGGGGGTTCGAGGGCCCCCGGGGCTCACTGCTGTCAGTCTGTCTGTCAGTCTGTCAGCGCCGTGTCACACGATGAACTCGCATGCCACGCTGAAGTGAGGATTGCATTTAAGGGCTACTACAACTGTATTCACCAGATTCATACATCACGCCAATGCTGCCAGCCGCCGCCGCACCCGCACCCGGCCCTCGCAGCTATCCATAAACTGAGAGTATACTCCAGACACGACACCGTCCCTCCACTTGCAGCCCAGTGCCGTACAGCCTCCCCTGTGGAATACTGCGGGGCGACTGCTGGCTGCACCGGGGCCGAGAGCCGTTTTCGGCTTTTCGAAGAAGCTGACTACCCTAGTTTTTTCAGGAAATGTTCATAATTTCGCTTTGTTCCCATTTGGAGCATTTTGGAGTCCTACGCTATTACCTTTGTATGCCTGAATTTTCGCTCAAATCGCGCCTGCGAGCCATTACATGCATGTACGACGCGCACGTGTCTTTGACAAAGACAGGCCCGATCCCAGGAAAGCTCGCCCACGGCTTATGAGATTCGTAAAGGGCGCCCTTTTTGAACTTTAAAATGAGCACTATTTCCAGATATACGGACATACAACCTACATGCGGAAGACCCTTCCCCAAACTATCAATTTTACTTTTTTCAATCCCGTTATTTAACGATCCCATTATTTAACCCACGGCGGGGGCAAAAAACAAAAAAAACCAAATGCTGTGCATTTGTGCACTGGCCTTATATTGACACTATCAGAATTGCTGCTTAGTAGTATTAATAGTATTATCAAAAGTTAATAACCACCAGCCTTTCCCCTCCTAGCTCCTCTACCCCGTACGACAGACAACACCTCGTACACTTGACAATCTCCCACTTACTGAAAGAAGACCCCGCAACCATCACTACTGTCCACATACGTATGCCGTACAACAACAGTACGCAAACACAATCAACAAAGAAAAACAGTTCAAGCAGTCCAACCGACCAGCACACGCAAAACACTGACACGACCCGCAATAGCGCATATGGGCCCTTCAGAGCCCCCGGTCTCTCGGAACGATAGTACGGCATCATACATAAATACATGCATACCCATGGAAGGGGCCTTACCGCCAGCGCCAACCCACACACACCACCACCACTCCCGGCGCCTCTTTTAGCCCCGTGATTCCATTAGTCTGTCTAGAGTCTCTCACTTTTACATATCTACATACGGACACCGCAGCTGAGGCGTCCGGGTCACCAAACAAAACAACAATAAAACACATGCTCCCTGCCACACACACCCACACCCCTGCCAAACACAAACATACAAACGACAGGCCGCCAGTGCGATACTGCGCCGCCTGCGGTTTCCCTTTTGCCGTTGCTACTGCTGCTGCTGCTGCTGCTGCTGCTACTGCTGATAAGATAATGATGATGATGATGATGACGATTCCGTTGCTGCAGTCGCCAATCGCCACTGATACCGCCGCTGTGCCGCTAGTCCTGCTAGTGCTGCTGCCTACTCGCGTAGCGGCTGTTCCTGTTGTTGTAGCTGCTGTAGCTGTAGCGTATCCTGCTGTTGCTCCTGTTCCCACGCGTCTCTCGCCGCCCGCTGCTGCCGCTCCTCAAGCTGACCGAGCACACTATCCAACGCGGCCAAGTAGGCGGGAATTAGGTGATCTGACACCATCGTACGACATAGCCGTACACGCGAGTACGCCTGCGCATCCGTCACCTCGTACAGAACATACGGCGACTGCGCCACGGAGGTCCGTGCCGCGATGTTATCGGCGGGGTTCGTACAAGCAGCTGCGGCAGCGGCAGCAGCAGCGGCAGCGGTCAGGCCAGCCGCCGCCGCCGCCGCCGCCGCTGGCTGGTCCCCGGCGATGGCGGCGCTCGGAAAGAGGTGCAGGATGCGACCGGCGGGATACAGTCGTCGCTTGTAAAGCCGCACTTCGTACTCTGCTGCCGACACGCCGGAGAAGCGGCCGGCGCCCGTTGGACTGGCGGCGGCGCTGCCGCTCTCGTCCCCACGGGGGCTCAGCGGCGGCTCACCCTCTCCGCCGCCGCCGCCGCCGCTGCCGTCGCCGCCGTGACTGAATGTCACGTCCGAGGCCTCGTGCCCAACACCCGTCGCAGCTGCATCCGCCGCCGCGCTCCCTACCGCCGTGACCGTTACCCTGCGGTACGATGCTCGTCCGGCAGAGGCCGAGGTAGCGGCCCCGCCGCTGCTGCCGCTGCCGAGGCTCCGTACCTCTCCCCGCCGACGCAACGTCTCCTCGCCGCCGAACCGCCGGCGATGCATCCCGCTGCTGCCAGATGATGCCGGACCTGACGCTGTCGCCGCCGACGCCGTGGCGGCGGCAGCGGCATCCGCCTCCCGTACTTCGCGCAGTACATCCTCCGCCGCCAGCGTGTTTTCGTCACGCAGCAGCGCTCTGGGCCCCTCCGCCGCCTCCCGAGATGCCTGGTTGGTCACCGCCGCGACCACCGCGGTGATGCCCGCCTTGAGGAGTGGGAGGAGGTGGTTTGGGCGCGGGATCATATGCAAGAAGCAAGAGGCCGGGGCAGGAGATGGTCCAGGGGGGGAGTTGAAGGGGGAGGATCCGGCCGAGCAACATAACATAATACAATAATAATAATAATAATAATATAATAATAATAATAATATATGCAAAACAATACAATAATGACAAAATATTGGTATTCGCATATAAATAATAAATATAATGTAATTGTAATATCAAAGCAACAACAAAAGCAACAAGCGTCAAAATCACCACATGCAGCAAACCCCACCAAGGGCATCATCACCTCGTCCACCTTCCCTTCACTCCCTGGCGCTCGCCGCTCAGCGGAATGTTCCAACTAAATACATACATACGGGGAACCTAGGGGCCAGTCAGCCGCCGCGCCGCGATAGCTGCTCTGCTACAGCTGCCGCCAATGACACCCGCATACCTGCAGCTGCTGCTCGCTTTCGGCAGCAGCAGAGTCCGATTGGGCGCCGCCGCCGCCGCCGCCGGCACCTCCACGGCCGCCTCTAACCTCCTCCTCCTCCTCCTCCTCATCATCATCATCATCATCCTGGTCGCCCTCCTCACTGCCGCTACCGACATCCAAACCGTCTTCGTGCTCGTCCATCTCCTCCTCCCCCCCCTCCTCCTCCCCATCACCATCATGCTGGTCGCCGTTGTCGCCGCCACCAGCGCCCCCGCGACCCACAGAACGCCGCCGCCGCCGCCGCCGCCGTCTCCCCTTTCTTGCCACCCGGCAACCCTGCCGCTCTTCATCATCGCCATCATCATCATCATCACGATCAGGGTCGGACTCGTCGTCAAACCCATCTGCACGACGTGGCCAGCCGACGTTGACGCATCGGTTTCGGTTAGTAGTTGGCTACGGTCGTTAGTTGGTTACAGGCATTAGTTGGTTACTGTTGAGAAGGCAGCCGGACAGGGCGGGAAATCTCGCTAGATGGGTACGTGTTAAGGCGGTGTGCGGTTAATCTGTCCCCCGTCTCGCCCCCTCCCAAAAGCTAAAAACCTAGGACCTATACCGCCCGGACAACCAGACATGATACAAATGGAGCTGACGGGGCTTCCACATTCCTTCCCTCCCACCTCGTCCCATATTGCGTGTTGCCACTCACCTCCCACATTCATCAAAAGGGGCTCTGATTCGGTCGCCACTGCACCAGCCGTCCGGCGAGCGCCGCCTCCACCGCCGCCTCCGCCGCCGAGTGTGGACATAAGGCCCGTTGCAGCTCCCCCTGCGGGGTCTCCCACCAGCCCCGCCGGACCGGGCGCGGACATAGCCCTCCGAGGTATCGTACATGTCGTAAACAGCATGCCGCCGCCGCGCCACAACCAGTCGCCGATGACTCGAGTGGATGCCAGAGCCGCGATGCTGGAGCCAAGGACGCCGCCTGACGCTGGCGCCGCCGCCGCCGCCGCCGCTGTCGCCGCCGCCGTCGCCGCCCGGGCCTTCGCCTTGCCGGGACTATCTGGCGCATCCATTCTCGGCGGCGCCATAACGCCAACAGTCCCGGAAACGCCCACGGCGCCGCCGCCACTCTCATACTCGCACAGGGAGCTGTAGCTGCCGCTAGCGGCGGCGGAGCCGAGTCCCACGCCACTGCTGCCGCCACCGCCACCGATGGGAAGACAGCCGCCACCGCCGCCGCCACCACCAGCTGCCGCCGCCGATGACCCTCCGGCGGCGGCACCGGCGTCAGCGTAGCCATGGCCCCCTGCAACTCCCCCCCCGCCGC